AATAGCCACATGTGGCTGGTGGCCACTGTCTTAGTACAAAACAGAACATTCCCATCATCATAGAAAGTTGGAGTGGACAGGGCTGCTTTCTCAATCGTATTAAAGATGAATTCTGGTATCCTCGGTCGGCCTTCATGATCCCAGATTATTTATCTCTTACAGCAATTACCAATTACTTCCCAGCCTCACTTCTGTCCCCACCCCCTGGCAGTTCTTGAACGATGAAGCTCAGGGCCTTTGCATATACTGTTCCCCTGGCGCTATTCTTCACTGGGCCAACTACTCACTTTTGGGGCTTGGCTTACATGTCACTTGCCCTCCCCATTCTAAAGTTATATTCTCATTTTATAAGCTTTCTTTTACCCTCTACTTTTCTGCTTCAGAAGAACAATCCGTTAGCTATAATATTTGTGTGGTTATTTATTTTATGTCCATCTCTCTAACAGACAATAAACTTCTTGCAGGTGAAATAGTGGTTGCCCTTTCACCACGAAACCCCCGATGCCCAGGACAGTGCCTCCCCCAGGTTAATTCCATGTAAATATTAACATTGGATTAATCTAAAGTTCTAGATCCTCTTGAGAGGCACGAATATGTTGGGTGAGTAAGTGAAAATTTCATTAAAAGAGGCATAGCTTTAAAAGCAGTCAAGAGACCCCACATATTAGGGAGATTGTTATTTATTTATGTTTAGGATGTAAATTTCACAAGGGTGGTTTGGAGCTGAACTAGTCCATTGGTTTTCGAATCACCATCCTGACTTTGGTGAACACGTAGTTGGGGGTAATTGAGGCTATAAATTAACGTGGAAGTCATTTAAAGTTGTTGGATAAAGGGGATTGGCTGGATTAGGACAGCCCTGGGGTTTATGGCAGGCCACTGAGCTGGGCTTTGGTGGGTTGGTGCAGGCTGGTGAGACGTCTGCGGGGTGGACACGGTGATCTGGTCTTTCTTGTTCTAATTAAACACCCAGGTAGGAAAAGCTTGGGTCCAGCACCTCATACTTTTCCACAGGCCTTTTGAAAAAAATTTGGGTGAGTTTCTCCAGAAAACCTCTACTCTTCCCCATCAGCATTTACAAGCCTTCCCCCAGGGGGAGGAGGGGGGAAAGAAAAGAAAAGAGAAGAAAAGAAAAAAGAAAGAAGGGCAAAGAAAACAAATTGGAATCTCCAGAATGAGTTCTGACTTTGGATTTCTATCCCAGACTGTCTGTGGCCACCTTCTCTCCTGTGGGGAGTAGGAAGGAGTCAGTTTTAAGAACTGTTCCCCCTGGCCTTGGTTCAGAACTGTCTATCCCCAGCATTCCAGGGTTCGTCTTAAATCATTGACTGTCTTTGCAGGGTTTTTTGAAAGGATTTTCGTAAAAAAGAAAAAAAAAAAAAAACCCAAGAACAAGAAAAGTGAATTTGCTATCAAGATTTCTAGTGCTCAGATGACGTATGAAGGTAAAGCCTCCCTGTGCCCATTTTAGTGGCCCCACGCCCAACCCTGTCTGAAGTTTTTGCTCTATTCCTATAAGTCAGTTACAGGGTTTCATGTGTATATAGACAACAAGTAATAAAAGCTACAACAACCTGGATCTGCTTTGTTTCAGACTTGCTGGTTTAAAAAAATCTGCCGAGGGCACTTGTATTTTTCTTATTTCTACTTCCTAGGGTGTAGCCAGGCAGCTCATGACACCTCCCCACAACTGGACCTTGAATCCTGATGGGGACACAGTGAAAATGACTGCCAGCCTGCACCACAGCTGTGAGACTATCTACTTTGGGCTTTCATCACACCAAAAAAAAAACCCTGGAAGTGAGGGCTCGGTGCCAGCCAAATCATCACATGCCTTGGGGATTGACTGGGTGCTGACCTTTGAGCCCCTGTCCTGGCCTTTCAGACTGTAGTTCAAGGTCACATCACCTAGGTGTGCACTGTAGTGCCACGACTTTCTGTGTCACTGTGGCAAGTAGCTTAACTTCTCTCTGCTGCAGTGTCCCTGTGTGTCAAATGGGGATGGAGTCATGACTCTCTCGTGGGTTTTCTTGTAAGAATGAAATGGCGTGATTGATGTCAGGCACATAGTAGCACTTGGTATATTAGCCATCAACTATATGTCATTACCATTTGTACTTAACAATTTATTCTATAAACAGACTGCCCGGTTGCTCAGACTCAACCAACAAGCCCTCTGTGTTCTAAGGAAGAGATATAAAGCATTCTTCCCTATCATGAGACCGTGGCTGCTAACAAATCCTAATAAGAAGCCAAAAGCTGGGGCAGGGAGCCTGGGTGGCTCTGCCGGTCAAGCATCTGACTCTCAGTTTCAGCTCAGGTCATGATCTCGCTCTTTCCTGAGTTCGAGCCCTGCCTTGGGCTCTGTGCTGACCGTGCGGAGCCTGCTTGGGATTCTGTCTCTCTCTTCTGCTCTCTCTGCCCCTCCCCCACTCACGCTGTCTCTGTCTCAAAATAAATAAATAAAAATTTAAAAAAAAAAAAGAGGCAAAAAGCCTTCTGTGTGGCTGGCAATCCCCCTATTTCCTGTGACGTCATTTTACCGAGAAAAAGCAGAAACAAGAGAAGGAATACATTTGACATTTGCTCACCTAACATTAAAAGCTCACTGTTGGTGGAAGCAACCCGAACATTCTGACATGAATTGTTTTTATTGCATTTGTAAATAAAGTGGAAATGTTTTGTGTTTGAATTCTTCAATTAAGCCCTTAAAGAGTCTCATTTTAATAATATTTATATTCTGATTATTAATGTACATTGTAGAGCAGCTGGGAATTCAGAAAAGTACAAGAAGGAAAATTAAAACCCTGCCTAATCTCAATGGTGTTTCATTTTGGCATATTTTCAATATATTATATGTGTTAAAAATTCAATTTGGGATTATACACCTATTTATGTAGACTCTACTTTTCATTTACTAACATAGCCAATCATTAAATGTTCTTTTACAACATGATTTTTTAATTAATCGTGTGGCATTCTCCCATATGGATATATTTTTTTAAATTTTTTTAATGTTTATTTATTTTTGAGAGAGACAGAGACAGAATGCAAGTGGGTTAGGGGCAGAGAGAGAGGGAGACACAGAATCTGAAGCAGGCTCCAGGCTCCGAGCTGTCAGCACAGAGCCTGACGCGGGGCCCAAACTCACAAACTGTGAGATCGTGACCTGAGCGGAAGTCAGAAGCTCAACCAACTGAGCCACCCAGGTGCCCCCCCCCCCCCAATATGGGTATTCTATAACCGATTCAAATCCATTACGAGTCATAGGACATTCAGGGTTATTTCCACATTTCACTGTGGCAAACATCTGTAAGACTGAATCTGTCCGTGATGTAGTACATTTCCCCTCTAAGCAGTATATGACAGCCCCCGACATTTGGGGTCATTCTTTTAATTCTTTAAGTATTTCCCCATGATACCTTGTTGCTGTAATTCTTCATTTCTTTGCTCTCTAGTGAGAGTGATCTTTTTTATTCACTCTCCATATATTTAGAAATTACTTGTATTCCTCTGTGAATCATGGGCTTACAGCCTTACACATTTTGGACAAATTTGTGGCCTTTTCTTGCAGTGGAGAAGTATTTTTTAAAGTTGTTATTTATTTCGAGAGAGACAGAGAGAGAAAGAGCTAGCAGTGGAGGGGCAGAGAGAGAGAATGCCCAGCTGGCTCTGTGCTCAGGTCGGAGCATGACGTGGGGCTCGATCTCACAACTGTGAGCTCATGACCTGAGCCGAAATCGGGAGTTGGACGCTTAACTGACTGAGGTACTCGGGTGCCCCGGGGAGTTATTTCTAAAAGAGGCATATTGGGGGGCGCCTGGGTGGCTCGGTCGGTTAGGCATTCGACTTCGGCTCAGGTCATGATCTCATGGTCCGTGAGTTCGAGCCCCGCGTCGGGCTCTGTGCTGAGCGCTCAGAGCTTGGAGCCTGTTTCAGATTCTGTGTCTCCCTCTCTCTCTGCTCCTCCCCTGTTCATGCTCTGTCTCTCTCTGTCTCAAAAATAAATAAACGTTAAAAAAAAAAATTAAAAAAAAAAAAAGAGGCATATTGGGACACCTGGCTGGCTTAGTCAGTAGAACATGCAACTCTTGATCTTGGGGTTATGGGTTCAAGCTGCTCTCTACTACCTTTGCTCAGCAAACACTCCTGGGGTCCACGGGCAGGTGAGGCTCTGGACGCTTGTCTCCGACTACACATCAGAGAGAATCAGTAACAGGCAACCTTCTGGGTTGCCTGGGTTTGGCATTCCTTCTGGGCTTGGCATTCCAATCTGTTACACCATGAGTATTTAAATGGCCCTCATATGCTAGTCTGTAGGGCTACAAAGACGAGTAAGACAGAAGGTATGACTTGGAAGAAGTAATCTCGGGGACAGATACTCTGGGGATTATATTAGAGTGTTTGAGAAAGGGGAGAGGGCGGAAGAGGCAGTGGCTGTGGCCCTGTGTCCTAACCCCTCGTATATGGAGGCCTCTAGACCTTTCCCCCCCTTCCAAGAGGATGGGAGGGCTATCCACTGAGTTTCGCTGCTGCCAATAGTCGATGCGGTGCAGTGGTCAGGAGCAGAAACTTGGCCATCAGGTCGGAACCGGGGGCAGGTGACTTGAACCTCCAGGAGCCTCAGTTTCCGCCTCTGCACAGCGGGGACGCCGCCTCCTTACGGGGCCGTGGTGGGTGGGTAAACAAGAAGGTAACAACAGTGCCAGTTTCGGGAACAGCCGCCGCTTCTCGGGCACACACGACCTGCCAGGCGTCAGTCGTCTTGCGGGCAGAAGCAGCCTCACCACTCAGTGCCCGGCCGGCCATTAGCACAGAATAAATGGAATCCCCCCCGGCTGCTGCCACTGAGGTCAGAAAAGAACTGGGGAAGAAACGCTCTCCTCAGGAGCCCCGTGTGGTCCCCTGGTGGTGAGGGGTGTTGTCAGGATGTGCTGGCAGGTGGGTGGGGCCAGAATGAACCGAGTGCCTCTCCACACAGTCAGCAATGCAGACGTGAAGGGAGAGCGGCCGGGCCGCCAGCCTTTCCCCCCACCCCGTCTCTCTGCTCGCAGGATGGACCCCACGGCTTACGCTGAGCTGTTGAAAGAGTCTGGCAACCAGGTTCTTAAGAACGGGAACTTCTCTCTGGCCATCAGAAAGTATGATGAGGCCATCCAGATTCTCCTGCAGTTATATCCGTGGGGGTAAGTGCTGGGATTTACTCCTCACCTTTCGTTTGCTTGTTTGTTTGTGGGTTTTTTTTTTTTTTGTAGCAAATGGAAGGAAACTCACTCTGCCGCTTGTTTTCATTTCTTATCACGCCGCCTAGTTTCTGTTTTCTTTCTCGCCTACTTCCTATTTATCCCCTCTGTGCTGTGAGCTCAGAAACCGCACAGAGAATACCAAGTACTGGAGAAATAGAAAGTGAAACATAGGACGCTGTTGGTAAGCATTGCACAATTTCCCCTTCTGTCTGGTTATGGGAGTCTGAGTTCCTGGGACGATCCCAGCCCCCAGCCTCTCTCAATGGCCATCTCTCTCACTTTCTTGATCATCTGTGATGTTTACCCCCAGGCTACAGTGTGTACCCCAGGGGGACTCAGGTCCACCCCTTCCTCTGCCCCCTCGGCTTTCAGGAGACCTGTTCCCAGACATTTTTATTATCGCAGCACGCTTAACAGCTAAGAGCTGTTGTCTGTGTAGGGTGTAGCTTTCAGTAGAGCCTGTATTTGGATTTAAAACGGAGATAAGCTTAAAATACGTTTTTAAGCATCTATTGAAAAGATCAGTAATAAGCCCATTATATGTTAACGTAAGTAACACATTATAATGCAAAGTAAGTATGTTTTCCAAAGCTGAAAATTTAGTGAGAAGGGTGGCTGGCCCAGTTTTCATTTTTGCAGACCTCTTTAATGTCCGTCCCCACCGAAGGCATCCGACTTCTCGTATCTGCTTCTGCGTTCATTCCACTGTGATGCCACGCGTCGTGGAGCCTCTAGAAGATTCCCCGCACACATGGGAGAGAATGTGTGAAAAAGACACATGCGTGGTCCCCTGTTACCGCTGTGACTAATGACCACAATTTAGCGGCTGAAAACACCGTTTATTATCCTATAGTTCTGGCGGTCAGAAGCTGAGATGAGTCTCCCGAAGCTAAAATCGGGGTGCTGGTGGGGCTGGTCTTTTGCAGAGGAGAACCCATTTCTTGTCTCTTTTGGCTCTGGGTGGCTGCCTGCACGGCTTGGCTTGTGGTCCCTTCCTTCATCCTCAAAGCATCTCTTCCCAGTGTGCTGCCATGTCGTGTCACTCTCTCCTCTGCTACAGCCACGTCTCCCTCTGTCCCTCTCCCATAAGGACTCTTGTGGTTGTATCCTGATCCAGGACAATCTCCCCCCAAGATCTGTAAGTTAATCCCATCTGCAAAGTTTCTTTGGCCAACAAGTGGTACCATTATTGGGGGAGTATTATTCAGCCTGCTATCGTTGGGAAAATATTTTGACCTTGTGGGCCACCTGAGATGGTCTTGGGGCACACCAGACACTCCCAGACCATACTTGGGGGACCGCTGCAGTAGAGGAGGCCGAAATTGGCATTTGTGGGGTGCCTGCGGCCTAAATGTGTACTGGGAAATGCCCCGGGGTGAAATTACTGAATCCCGGCTCCCACCTCCTGCCTTCTGTCACCTTGGTGTCTCCCCAGTAGCTGGATGTGGGTTGAGTGTCATTGATTTGGGCCTGTAATTCCGCCCCTCCCGGCTCAGATCAGAACGGTGTCAGAGCTGGGCCTCGAGCACAAAGCATTTGACTTTCTTTTTTTTTTTATTTTTTTTATTTTTTATTTTTTTAGTGTTTACTTATTTTTGGGACAGAGAGAGACAGAGCATGAACGGGGGAGGGGCAGAGAGAGAGAGGGAGACACAGAATCGGAAGCAGGCTCCAGGCTCTGAGCCATCAGCCCAGAGCCTGACGCGGGGCTCGAACCCACGGACCGCGAGATCGTGACCTGAGCCGAAGTCGGACGCTTAACCGACTGAGCCACCCAGGCGCCCCGCATTTGACTTTCTTAAACACGTAGTCGGGTGTAGCGGTTATGGCTGTAGACTGACCCCGCACCGTGGGGCCGCTAACGGGACCCCTGCCCGGACCCTCCCCTATCATCTCTCATAACCTTCCTGCCACTGTTCCCCCCTGCCGCTGCCGGCTGACATAGGGATTTAGGTGCGTTTGGTTTGCTGAGCAAGTGCTCTCAGGAGAAGGGGACTGAGGGAAGGAGGATGGGGCAGGGGCAGGGGCTCCGAGCAGGGATGGTGCGGCCTCTGGAGGCAGCTTCAGCCTGATCCCCTGGGGAGCTCTGGCGCATGAGCTGGACTGCAGAGCCCGTCCCACTTTGGGGCCAGGGAGCTGAACTTCTGGTTCCCATGCCAGCCAACCCTCGGTTGTAGGCTGTCTGGCCCCGGGGAGTTGTCCTCAGCAGTGGGGCTTGGGCTGCCAAAACAACATGCCATTGACCGGGCGGAGTCAACAACAGGAACTTACTCCTCACGGTTCTGAGGCTGGTAAGTCTGAGATCAAGGTGCTGGCCAACTCAGTTCCCGGTGAAAGCCCTCTTCCCCAAATAGCATCACACGGCGGGCCAGGGCTTCGACATATGGACGGAGAGGCACAATTTAGTCCGCAGCAGGGGCACAACTTCCCGGGGAGAGGGCAGCTCCCGTTAGGTCGAGGGCGAATCTGGAGAACAGGGCCATGGGAGCCCCTAGTGGCAGCCAGTGCTCACTGCAGCTGTGGATGGCTGCTCGGCCCAGGTTATGTGGGCGGGACACCTGCAGTCAGCCCCTGCTGATCGATCACCCACTGACCGCCCCACTGCCTCTTCTGTGCACCTCTGGGGCTTCATCCCTTCAACCTAGGGGGACAGAAGCCGGAAACAAAGCACTGACGATGGGGCAGTTGTAGAGGTGATGTTCGCTTTGCTTTTTATTTGTGCTTATCTGCATCACCTAACTTTAAAAAAAAATTTTTTTTAACGCTTACTTATTTTTGAGAGACAGAGAGAGAGAGACAGAGTATGATCAGGGGAGGGGCAGAGAGAGAGGGAGACACAGAATCCAAAGCAGGCTCCGAGCTGTCGGCACAGCGCCTGATGTGGGGCTCAAACCCATGACTTGTGAGAGTATAACCTGAGCTGAAGTCGGACACTTGACTGAGCCACCCCAGCGCTCCAGGACCAGTCACCATTTTCACAGAAGCTTCACCAACGGTCTCTAAAAAATGAAAAGATCCGTGGAGATCAGTCAGAGGTAGAACCAAGGTGTTGAGAATGTCTGTCATGAAAAGGAGCAGAGGATTTGGGAGTGGTTGCACTGTGCCAGTGCCCCGGGATTTCTGGGGGCTGGAGGGTCAGATGTGATCGGTGTAATTGGGACCTTAGCTGGTGATGGTGGCAGTCAGCCCCAGAATTGTGACCTCAAAGGTGGTTTTCTGCATTTGCAGAAAGATGTCTCGGGCTCTCCTGACCACCGGTTGGTTCTTTCTGACAGGGTTCCCCCCAGGGAGCTGGCCGTCCTGCTGTGCAACAAATCCAGTGCATTTTACAGCCTCGGGAAATGGAATGAGGCCTTTGTGGCGGCCAAGGAATGTCTCCAGTGGGATCCAACCTACGTGAAGGTACGGGGACAGCTGGGGGGCCCTGCCTCCTTCCTCCCTTCTTTTTAAAACGGAAATGCGAGGAGTGCATCTCATTCAATCCTTTGCACTTTACACAGGTGCCCGTAGGGCGTGTGAGCCTGTCTGGAGAAGACTGGGAACACTGAGGGCCAGGTGTGGCAATGCCCTTGCAGGTGGAGCTCGTTGTGTTCTGATGTAGTTTCACCACTACTCGTAGTCTGAAGAGTACTTTGATGTTTCCGAGTCTCATTTGAGCTAAGCTGTGTTGCAGGTGCAAGCTGGGTGCACCCACGTGGCACCGATTACTTCTTCCGAAGCACTTCTTACTTCGAAATCAGCTCCCTTGGAGGGATGGGGGTCGGGGGAGGTTCGAATGGCCAGCAATCCACCCCCACCCCCACCCCCCCACCAGGGGCTAACAAAGATCGGTAAATGAGTATTTAAATGAGTATTTGATTGTTTTCCGCAGCTAAAATGCTGTCAGAGTTCTTCCTGCCTCAGGGTGAACAAAAGGCCAGGGAGACCCCAGCCCAGCTGTTGAGTAACTCTCGGTCAAGTTAGGGAGAGGACAAAAAGCAAAGGCGGAGACCATAAAGGAGTTGCCATTCTGGAGCCATCTGAGGCACAGACAATTAAGTGTCACGTGAGTGATACGGACCATTTACGGCGAGGCTCCAAGGTCAGAACCGCACGGGCCTTTCTCCCCGCTGCTCTGCTGGGGGGCAGACTGGTTTCAGCATGGGAGGAAATGCACTTCCTTCCTTAAGCCTTCCTTTCCCCGACTGTGTAGGGGGAGTGGCTGCTTAGGTCTCAGAGTCGCTTCAAGGATTAAGGAGACCTTGGTTCGAGTCGTTGGCACTCAGGACGTAGGAGTTTGTATCGTCTTCTCAGTGATCTGCATTTTGTGTACGGAACAGTGGGAAGGGGCGAGGGGTTTGGACCTGCATGTTCTCCATCCTCGAGGGAGGGATTTGCCTATTTTACCTTCAGCCTTTCCTTAAAAAAAATTTTTTTTAAACATCTGTTCATTTTTGAGACTGAGAGAGACGGAGTGGGAGCGGGGGAGGGGCAGAGAGAGGCAGACACAGAATCCGAAGCAGGCTCCAGGCTCTGAGCTGTCAGCAGGGCCCGATGCGGGGCTCGAACTCATGAAGCGCCAGATTATGACCTGAGCTGAAATCGGATGCTTAACCGACTGAGCCACCCAGGCGCCCCTATACATTTTTAACAGAGCGGTAAAGCGTGGAGGCGGGACAGACAAAGGAGAGGGGTTTAGACTTCGGGGGCTGCAGACTGTGGGAACGCACATGCACACACGTGGGGGAAACTCATGAGAGGGGCGATAAGGGCGATCTTAGTAATGTTTAGCAGCGCTGGGCCGGCTCACTGCCAATGTCCGTCTTGTTCATGGCCATAAAAATTCCCTGGGAGAGAAAATTTATGGCAGTCCTCATTTCTTAGGCTTTCTGCTTTTACTCGGATCAGGGGAGCTCCAGGAAGGTTTCCTTCCACGTCTTTCGAATCTCAAATGCCTTGGGCTCAAGATAATCCTTAGGCCCAAGTGCCATATTTTGGGGTGGCATATTCTGAACCCCCTTCCTCTCCCCACCAAAATAAAAGATGAGAGAAACTAAAATCTGAGGAAGGGAAGGAAGCGGGGAATTCTGTATCCAGCTTACTGGGTTGGGCGAAAAAAAAACCCAGACATTCTCCCAACCCTTTTTTTTCTCGTTGCCATCTAATGACGTTTCAAATGAAGGTGAAAACAAATCGATAGTCAGAGATTTGGTGTTCAGTGGAATTTTTTTTTAATTTTATTTTTTTTAAAAATTTTTTTTTCTCAACGTTTTTTATTTATTTTTGGGACAGAGAGAGACAGAGCATGAACGGGGGAGGGTCAGAGAGAGAGGGAGACACAGAATCGGAAGCAGGCTCCAGGCTCTGAGCCATCAGCCCAGAGCCCGACGCGGGGCTCGAACTCACGGACCGCGAGATCGTGACCCGGCTGAAGTCGGACGCTCAACCGACTGCGCCACCCAGGCGCCCCTGGTGTTGAGTGGAATTTTTAAGTGCCTGCTTTTTGTGTGAACCCAGTTGGTGGACACCTTTCATTATCTTAGAATGTTGTCGTGATGGATCCTGGTGTGGGTTCCTTTAGAGAATCAAAGAGGGGGAAGGCACTGCCATTTTGTTCCTACTCAAGGCACACCATTTTATATAGGCAAGAGTCCGCCATTTTCCTCCAACAATCATTGTAATTTTCCTCTCCACAGAAATAAAAAATTTTTGCCCCCGGTACACAATGCCTATAACGTGGAGCTCGATATACCTCAGCGCTTGTCCTGACAACTTTTTTTCCAGCTGCGTACCCGTGGAAGTCGTGTTGACTTTGATTGAAAGGAGCAGGGAACGAGTTCTGTGTTTACATGACAATCTCATTCTTTTCTGGAACACTGTCGTCGGAGGATTTTTTTTCATTCTCTTCTTGCCAGGGCTGTGATTTGTTGCGTGAATAACTAAGCCACACATGTACTTGGAAGCGGGCCCGCTTCCTTCGCTCTGTCCTATGTTAGATGCAGTAGAAGTCATGCATTTGGAAATGATTGTTTTCTTGGCAGTTAAAAAATGACGGGAAAACTGTGGCACGGAACGTAACGTGGAAATCCTGTAGCCAGTGCTTGTTAGAAATCTGTGTTGACACAGAAGTGAAACCTCCCCAGCTCATTTCCCCATGTCATCAATCTTGCCTTTCCTTTTAGCAGCTGGTTAGAGGGATGGGTGAGTTATGGGTTTGCTTTTCTTCTGTCCCAGGGATACTACCGGGCTGGTTACTCCTTGCTGAGGTTGCTTCAGCCTTACGAAGCTGCTCGAATGTTTCTCGACGGTCTGCGACTTCTCCAGGGCAGCCCGGACCAGATCCAGATTGCTGATTTCCTTCTGGGAGTCTTTACCACTATGGGCAGTAAGTTGTAACCGCGGGAAATCTGCCTTTCTTCCTTCCTTCTCCTTCCTTCCTTCCTTCCTTCCTTCCTTCCT